GGCAATTCACCTGCTTTTGTTATTTTTTGTCAACTTGAACTGATGGAAGAATATTTGGGTGGGAAACTGCATTGGACAACTAGCCAGTGTATCAAATAGCTAGTCTCTCCTGTTAGGATGTGTGGGGCTGTCATATTGCTCCTAAGACCCACAGGGGACTGGAAGCTGATGGGGGTTATGGACATTTTCTAACAAAGTGAGACATCTTAGTAAAATGAAGTGGTGAAAACCAGACCAGACCATTTTATGTCATCTCTGTGTGAGTTCTTTTTTTTTTTAAGATTTATATTATTGATTTTTTTACAGAGAGGAAGGGAGAGGGATAGAGAGTTAGAAACATCGATGAGACAGAAGCATCGATCAGCTGCCTCCTGCACACTCCCCACTGGGGATGTGCCTGCAACCAAGGTATATGCCCTTGACCAGAATTGAACCTGGGACCCTTCAGTCCACAGGCTGACACTCTATCCACTGAGCCAAACCATTTATGGCTCTGTGTGAGTTCTGACTCTCCTACTTCCTTGCTTTATAATTGGAGGAAATGACTTAACTAAACCTTAGTTTTCTAAAACTAAGGTGGAATAAAAATAGTATAAATATCACAGGATTGTTATGAAGATTAACTGAAGAAGTACTTAGCATAACCCCACAATAGTTAGTTTTAAGTGTTATTTTTGCTATTATTAATATCTTCATCATTTGGGGTGGTTCTCAGGGATCGCTAGCTGAGTCATATTCCTGAGTATGTCTTAGGGCTGATTAAGAGCCTTCTAGAAACATTTGGGTTTTTAAGGGCTGGGATGAGCCCCCAGGATGTTGGGATCTGTTTCAATTGGTGTCGGAAGCACACAAAAAATGACCATTGGCTTGGTCATGAGAGGTGTCCCTCTCCCTCCAAAACCTGATGCAGAAACCATTTCCGGGCAAGGCTGGAAAGAACAACTGGGAATTCACAGGTCATTTTTCTACCTTCAGTTCCAAAAACCTGGTGCAGGCATTTACTGGCCTCCTCCTTGCCTTGTATTCTTTCATCCTTTCCTTCAGTTCATCTGTTTTCTTAGGGAAAAGTCTTTCTATACTGGCCTCTGATTCTGACCACATGATAGCTTATTTTCCATAGAAACTTGTTGCCACAGGTGTCCGTAAGACTGAACAGAACAAAGACCATGACCCTCCTTGACTCTCCTGGTGGGTAAGAGAAGTAGGAGTCCTTGTCCCTGTTAATCAGGATAACTGCATTACCTCAGTGTTCCGTGTCCTTTGACTGCAGAAGGCCAGCTTTCTTCCCTAACCTGTGGCTAGCCTGGCTTCCTGGGGCTGGCTGATCTATCCAGCTGCCACCTCCTGTCACCTCGTTGGCTCTTGATCAAAGAACTGCTCCAGCTGTGCCCACCTTCTGTCTCCTCCTGCATGGGGCTTATCAGAATCTACAAGGTATGGGGTTTCCAGAGGTCAAGGCAGGGTGCCAAGATCTGTCTCTATCCATATCTCTCCAGGGTGAGTGATTGTTAAACCTGTGAATGGGATTTCTGTGTACATCACAGATTATGAGAGCTTTTTCAATCTTTCGAATATGGATGCTGAACACCTTCAACCACTCTGCTCTTCCAGTCATTCTTGTAACTTTTTCTCTTCAGAGTGAGGTCAAAGCCCCAAACACCTGCTACGATGACCCCCAGCACCTGGACTCATGGGGAATGTGGGCCTCAGCACGTGGCTGCCATTCTGGGGAATAAGAAACCAAATTAATCCACCCAGCCCTTTGGGAGGAAGGCATGCACCAAGGCGTACTGTGTCCGAACAGAACTTTTCTTTGAGTACAAGCCTTGGGAGTTTAAAGAGGTCCTATATAACCTCTAAAACAGAGTGAGAATTTGTCTATGGTATTTGTATATTATGTTTCTAAAACAAATGGCTCTGCTCAGATCATAAAATGGCTTTAAAGAAGGCCAGTAGTGGAGTGGTGTTGGTCTGCTCAAGCTGCCATAACAAAATACTATAGACTTGGTGGCTTAAACAACAAAAATTAATTTTTTCACAATTATGGAGGCTGGGAGTCCAATATCAAGGCGTTGGCCAATTCCGTTTCTGGCAAGAGCTGTCTCCCTGGCTTGCAGATGGCCACTTGCTATGTGGTATATTTCTCCTTCACCCCCTCTCTCTCCCCTCTCCACCTCCATTTCTCCTCTCTCTCCCTCTTTTTATAAGGTCACCAATCTTATCAGGGTAGGGCCCCACCCTGTGACCTCATTATACCTTCATTCCCTCTTAAAAGCCCTATCTCACATTGAGGCTTAAGGCTTCAACTCTTGGATGTGTGGGGGTGGAAGGGATAGACACAATTCAGTTATAGCACTGAATAAGCTTCCTTAGTGACTACATATATTTATTCCAAAAACATACACTTACTGAACACCTAACTATCTCACTATTAGGATAGATACCATGATAAACATAATAGACATAGTCTTTGCCTTTGTGTCATTCATAGTTTATTAGATGAGTTGGACATTAATCATATAATCTCACACCAAATACAGGTAACCTCAAAGCTTTATAAATGCTGTGAAAGAAAAAGAGTGTGATGAGAGAACATAACAGAAGGAGTTGGACCATTTGTGGGGGGCGAAGGAAAGTTTTCTTGAGAAGGCAACTTAAGCTATGATCTGGATTGTTAAGAATGGGGATGCAAAGAAGAAAGTCATTTCAGGAATGCATGGGTGATGTCATGTGCAAACGTTCTGAGGTGGAAAACAACCCGATATGAAGTTCATGGTTGCTGAAGTGCAGTAAGAGAATGAGTAGCAGGAGATAAAGGGGGAAAAGAAGGAGGTGGTAGTGTAAGCCTTTGTTCTGTTTTTGTTTTTGTTTTTTAAATATATTTCTTTATTGATTTCAGAGAGGAAGAAAGAAGGAGATAGAAACATCCATGATAAAAGAGAATCATTGATCTTTTGCCTCCTGCATACCCCCACTGGGGATTGAGCCCACAACCCAGGCATGTGTCCTTGGCCAGAATCAAACCTGGGACTCTTCAGTCCACAGGCTGACGCTCTATTCACTGAGCCAAGCCAGCTAGGGCTGGTTTGCTTTTTAAAAACAGATTAGTGTGGCTATATGAGGACATATACTAGAAAATGGCAAGAATTGGAGTGGTGAGTTCAGTTTGGTGGTTGCTGCATAGATTCATCAGGTAAGGAGTAATGGTGTTTTGGGTTGTGATGGTGGTGATAGAGACCAAGGAATAGTTCATAGGATTTAGTGCTGGATTGGATAAGGGGCAGGTCAGAGAGGAAGGCTTGCAGACTAGCCGGAGTAACTGGGTGGATGGAGGTGTTATTTTCTGAGATGGGAAACAGCAGAGGAGGAGGAGCAGGTCTGGATGGAAATGAGCATTTCTCTATTCCTAGAAGTTCCCAACGTGGTTATAGCAATAGAAGAAAAATTGGCAAGTAGTCTTTTTTTTTTTTTTTTTTTTTTTTTTTTTTTTTTTTTTTTTTTTTTTTTTTTTTTAAAGCTATTGCATAGTAGAGGAAGAAAGGCCCTCAGCTGCTGGGGAGTCCTTGCCCTAGATCAGACCCTGGACACACTGAGAATCTCCTGACCACTGTTTCCATCCCAGACCCCCTGAAGAAGGTGAGGAGCGTAGGGAGCCCTACTTTGTCATGCACCATCAATAAAGTTCACTAAACCCAGCCAAATAAATAAATAAATAAATAAATAAATAAATAAATAAATAAATAAATAAGATAAAGCTATTGCATGGTTATTTGCATTCTCATTTGACCTGAATGAGGCAATGAGTGAAAGGATGAGTCTTAGTTTCAGTTGAGTTTCTTTCCATTCTTCTGAATTCACCTTTTAATGGCTTGAGCCTCCAGACGGGGCTGCATTTCACCCCGAAATCTTGTCTCCAGTTAAAAACATTTGAGAGCCACTTGCACATTATTATTAATAGTGATTTCTACCACTTGGCTCTTTCAGGATTTGGTTTGGAATTTGAGTGGCTGACTGATCTTCATCTTCCTGTAACTGGAAACCAAAACTGTTTCATAAGCATGTTTTGCATGAGGGCTAAGAGCTGCTGTAGACTGGGTCTTAGGCACAACTTATAGGACTTTGTTTTAGCTACACTGCAGGAAGCACTCACTACAGAATCAATCCTCTCGATTTTCCAAGCAATCTCAGAATTACAGATTGCCTGCAGAAGTTTTGCATTGAGGGCTCAATTACACATAAACAAGGTGTTGTTCTATTTTGGAGTTTAGCTTATGATAAGTTCAAGTCTTGCAAACCTATGTTATGCAAGATTCTTGAGTATGATAACATTGAGGTAAAGAAGACTGAAAACCCTAGAAATAGTATAACTGGGGATGAAAATTCAGGCCATCTTTGGCCTATTTTAAGTTGATTCTTTTTAAAAATATATTTTTATTGATTTAAGAGAAGAAGGGGTGGGAGAGATGGTAGCTTCAAAAATGAGAGAGAATCATTAATCAGCTGCCTCCTGCATGCCTCCTATTGAGGATCAAGGTTGAAATTTGGGCATGTGCTCTGACTGGGAATTGAACTGTGAACTCCTGGTTCATAAGTTGACTCTCAACCACTGAGCAACACCTGGGCTTAAGTTGATTCTTGAAAACTCTCACAGATAACAGTAGGGTTGGGAGACAGGACAAGATGGCATCACTTATGTTTCCATTACCAATATTCCCAGCTATTTTAAGCCATTCTACAACCGAGTCTCCACCAGATGGTCCTGAAGACACAGCAGCTATTTGTGTCTCCCACTGATATGTATTTTTCCAAGTGAGAGACTGCCCCATATGTTAGTGCAATATGTTATCCAAGATGAAATACCTGTTTGTATTGGTGGGAATCTGCCATTGCTGTCTCCCTTTTCCTCATGCCTTTTCCTACCTCTCTGGTCTTTTCTAGGTCTCTGGCCTGTCAGGAGGACCATTGGTGCTGCAGTGGAAGCCAGTGGCTAAGTCTCATGTATGGCGTGGTTAAGGTTGCAGCCTCTCACCTCTGCCTTCCTCCATTTTGGGCTGATAACTTTTGTGCTCTTCCTGAATGGTCTTCGAGCAGAGACTGGTGGCTCAGAGGATGTGCCCAGCACAGGGCAGAATAATGAATCCTGTTGGGGGTCATTGGAATGCAAGGAGGGTGTCATATTACCAATCTGGTACCCAGAGAACCCTTCCCTTGGGGATAAGATTGCCAGGGTCATTGTCTATTTTGTGGCCCTGATATACATGTTCCTTGGGGTATCCATCATTGCTGACCGCTTCATGGCATCTATTGAAGTCATTACTTCTCAAGAGACAGAAGTGACTATCAAAAAGCCCAATGGAGAGACCAGCACAACAATGATTCGGATATGGAATGAAACTGTCTCCAACCTGACCCTTATGGCTCTGGGTTCCTCTGCTCCTGAGATCCTCCTCACTTTAATTGAGGTGTGTGGTCACGGGTTCATTGCTGGTGATCTGGGACCTTCTACCATCGTAGGCAGTGCATCCTACAACATGTTCATCATCATTGCCATCTGTGTGTACGTGATCCCTGATGGAGAGACTCGTAAGATCAAGCACCTACGAGTGTTCTTTGTCACTGCTGCTTGGAGCATCTTTGCCTATATCTGGCTCTATATGATCCTGGCAGTCTTTTCTCCTGGTGTGGTCCAGGTTTGGGAAGGCCTCCTCACTCTCTTTTTTTTCCCAGTGTGTGTGCTTCTGGCCTGGATAGCAGATAGGAGACTGCTATTCTACAAATACATGCACAAAAGGTACCGTACAGATAAACACCGAGGAATTATCATAGAGACAGAGGGTGGCCACTCCAAGAGCATTGAAATGGATGGGAAAATGATGAATTCCCACTTTCTAGATGGGAATCTGGTGCCACCAGAAGGGAAAGAAGTGGATGAGTCCCGAAGGGAGATGATCCGGATTCTCAAGGATCTGAAACAAAAATATCCAGAGAAGGACTTAGATCAGCTGGTAGAGATGGCCAATTACTATGCTCTTTCCCATCAACAGAAGAGCCGCGCCTTCTACCGGATTCAAGCCATCCGTATGATGATTGGTGCAGGCAATATCCTGAAGAAACATGCTGCAGAACAAGCCAAGAAGTCCGCTGCTATGAGTGAGGTGCACACCGATCAGCCTGAGGACTTTGCCTCCAAGGTCTTCTTTGACCCATGCTCTTACCATTGCCTGGAGAACTGTGGGGCTGTACTCCTGACAGTGGTGAGGAAAGGGGGGGACACATCCAAGATCATGTATGTGGACTACAAAACAGAGGATGGTTCTGCCAATGCAGGGGCTGACTATGAGTTCACAGAGGGCACCCTGGTTCTGAAGCCAGGAGAGACCAAGAAGGAGTTCTCTGTGGGCATCATTGATGATGACATTTTTGAGGAGGACGAATACTTCTTTGTGAGGTTAAGCAATGTCCGCATAGAGGATGAGCAGCAAGAGGAAGGGATGGCTCCAACAATACTGAATAATCTTCCCTTGCCTTCCAGGGCTGTCCTGGTGTCCCCTTGTGTGGCCAAAGTCACTATCTTGGATGATGACCATGCAGGCATCTTCACTTTTGAATGTGACACTATTCGTATCAGTGAGAGTATTGGTGTCATGGAGGTCAAGGTTCTGAGGACATCAGGTGCCAACGGCACAGTCATCGTCCCCTTTAGGACAGTGGAAGGGACAGCCAGGGGTGGTGGTGAGGATTTTGAAGACATATATGGGGAGTTGGAGTTCAAGAATAATGAAACTGTGTAAGTAACTTTCAGTATTCTATCCCCTGCTATCCCTTGCCATATCCTTCTATCCTGAACCACTTTTTAAAATTTTCCTTGGCTTTGTGTTAATATAAAACTTTGGTTCCATCACAGGTACGCAGGATCAGCAGACACTACTGGCAGTTTCTGCTTCCAAACTCTCCTCAGTTTTCTCTCTTTAAAATGTTTCTAGGCATGGAATCCTGAGATAGGATCTCAGGACACCGATTTTTGTCTACTGAAACACAACCTGATGGCTGGTGGAGGTGTGGGGTGACAGAAATTTTTATATCAGATTTTGGAGAATTCTTGTGATTAAGCAAGAGCTAGGAGATTACTTGGGTGCCTCCTTCCTGCTCTCTTTGTGCCAAGAGAGTCTATGAGCTTTGAAGCCAATCCTTTTCACTCTGAGACAGTGATAGCCCAATCAGGACATCCTCAAGAAAACAAGTGACACTGGCTCCCCCCCCGCCCAACCTCCCCCCAGTGCCATATTGTAGTAGTATTGTACAACCAGATTTCAGGTACCTCTCCTTCAATTTGGAAATTGCAAAATTGATTGAATCTTTGCAATTTGTTTAAATGCTTGTAGGCTCTTTGATGAGGCTTGCCTAGTCTAGGTGCGATGAGTCAGTATGGCTTGAGTACTGGAGGTATGTTGGAGGAGCAGAGCTCCCAGGGCAGCAGCCACGGTCTTTAGTCACAGGTCTAAGCTCCAAATTCTGTCTAAACAGTGAAGGAGATGCCTTTTGAGAATTGTGGGAGAAAACACATCTTCTGTGTGGTCATCTCTTTTCACAGTCTGGGATTCTCCTGAAATAGTTTTTACGTTAAGGCCCCTTTTAGTCCCTCTCATACTGTGGGTATTACATCTGTATTGCCTCTGTAACTCTCCCCATTGAACCTTCTTATGCTGGACCGTCTGTCCTCTTTCAGATAGATAGCTGAGAAGATAGAATGACTTTCCCCAGGATTTGCAGCTTATGGGAGGGTAGACTTTCCAGGGTGGCCAAGAAGGATGGGGATGAGAAAGGGGAACCTTGTCTCTGAGTTCCTGTGGTGACCACAAACAATAAGCAGTGGCAGGAGAAGGTGTGAAGAGCAAAGGAGGTATATAGGAATGGGGGGGGGGTGTCAAACTGCTCCAAGAAACATTTTTAGTGGGAGGTGAAAACATAAACTTCCAGTAGAGCAGAGGAACTCATGGGAAAGAGGATCCATAGATCTGAAAAAGAGATGCCATAGACGAGCTTCTCCCCAGGTCCAGCCTTAGGACAGAGCTTAAAAGAGGTTGAATTCTGCTGACAACAGAGCTGAGTGAGTCATTCAGGAAACTCTGCTCTTGTTCTTTCAGATTCTTCCTAATAAGGTGACTTTGGGCAAGTCATTTAGTCTTAGCTCTAGAACTAAATAGTCTCATCTGTAAAGTGGGAATAACAACACTTTTCTTGCATGCAGGCAGGGCCAGAACTTTTTATAGTGCCTCCCAGCTCTAGGATTTTTTTGTACTATTGACATAGGCCACTCAATGTAGGTCATGTTTGCACCAGCCAAAGATGGGTCAGGGGATATTGTTTCCTGAAGTGAAATAGCCACTGACAAATTGATTTATTAGAGCTCCGTTTATTCATTTTGCTGGGAAGGATAGTCATTTGTTAGCGTAAGTAAAAACATGTGCCATCTATAAAATATGATCCATTTATATGTGCTCTGGGGAGAGTGTTTATACATACAAATGAAGGACAGGCCTACGCTGGGAAGACAACTCCGTGAGATTTCATACACATTTATGGCAATGCCAGTATATAAGAGGTTACTGTCAGGCATTAAATGACATCAAGACCACAGCATTGGCCATAATTTGACAGACTTGTGGTTCCTTTAATTCGGTACCTACTCACCAATGGCACTGAAGGGTAGTTTTTGAGAGAGCAGAAGCTTGGTTCCAGATTTCTTTGTCCCATGAATAATCAATTGTGCACCTAGGATCTCTAAATATACTAAACTTTCCCATCTGCGTTTTCAACTTGAATGTAACTATGCTTCATGGATGGTCACTTCTGGGTAATATTGGTGCTAAATGTATCTCAACCTCCACACATTTGAGATTCTGGTTCAGGTATTCTAGGATTAGATGAACAAGTCTATGCTCCCATCTACTCCTGTGCATTATTTTTTAGACCTTCGTAGATTTAGACTACCCCTTTGGTCTTCTTCATTGCAGAAGATGGAGTCCAAAACCTGCTAGTCTCTCCTCACATTGCATCCCTATGCTTGATACTTTAAGTTTTACTGGAGGCAGTATAATGCAGCCGAAAAACCACAAACTCTAAATACACTGGGTTAGGGTTTTGTCTCTATTATAGATTTAACCATGTAGTTTTGGGGAGTTTTATTGATTTGAGATTATTTTGTCATTGGTAAAAAGGGGATAGTAATGTTTCTTGCAGAACTATTAATGATGATATAAGATATTGTATGCACTGTTCCTTGTAAATAGTATGTGCTCAGTGAATGAGGCTATTGATAGTAATATTGATGAATTAACAATATTCTTCAGAAGATGCTGTGTAGGGGATCAGATTGCTTGGATCTCTGTGTGACCCATATTAATAAGCATGCTAGTTTTGAGCTATCATGAAGATTCCTAGTCTCAACTCCTAAAATATTAAATGATTAGAGCCAGAAAGGACCTAGACTATCTTGAGAGTGGTGTTTCTCAGATTTTAATGTGCTGATGAACCACACACAGATTTTGCTAAAATGCAGATTATGTTTCAAAATGTCTAGAATAGGGCTTGAGGTTCTGCATTTCTAACAACCTCCTGATGCCATTGGTCCCAACTTAGAGTTGAAACCCTCAGGATACTTAGACAGAAGCTGTGTGATGCCGGCAACACTGGCACTTTCTCATCCTTCCCTCTTTATGTAGCTCTATTTGCCCACCAAGCCTCATAGCATTGTCAGTTTTGCCCCCACCACACTCCTCTAAATCTATCCAGGTGAAGCCGGGCTTATGCTCTATCAATAATGTTGGATCTGTGAATTCACTTATTTGGCTTTGTGCTTTCCTTCTTCAAAGACGGTGAGATGGAAAAAACATGAACTTTGAATCTTGACAGACAGGTGCGAATCCATCAATCACCAGCTGTGTAACTTTGAACACGTCACTTCACCTATCTGAGTCCCAGATAGTTTGTTAGGATGATAGGAATCATGGTATCTAACCTGCAGGTGTGTGATAAGTACTACATTTAAATATGAAGAAAATGCACAACGCTTGCTCATAGAAGGTGCTCAGACATTCAATAGATGTTCATCAAATATCTCCTGTGTGCCAGGTACATTGCTAGGGACTCTGGAGATAATAAAGACAAGTTGGCATCCCCACTCGCAAGGATCTTCTTCTCAGGTGGAGAAGATACAGGTAGACAGGTTGGGAGAGGCATATGGTTGAAATAAGTTCAATAAAAGAGGAATAAAATATCCTTGTTGTATGCATGACACCACTAAAGTTTTCAGAGTAGCCATTGGGATAGTAGTGAAATAGATGACATGGGGGGGGAGGGTTACATGATTAATTTAAACTCACATTACAATAAACTCTTGACATTTGAGAGAGATACTATTGAGAAGAATCCCTACCTTTTTTTTTACTTCCACTGCTGTACACAATGAGAATCGTGGCCTTTGAGCTGACAATAGCAAAACCTCACAGAGTTGTGGGTTCTGCCAGCACCTTAATCTCATTCACTGAACACGTGACTAGCTCCTGTAGCCCAGGCTCATGGCACGCCACTGCAACATAACAGATTACTGTTGCTCATGGACCTTCGGGGTCTCTGGGAGTAGTCAAAACCATAGATGTCAAATATGCAAATGCCAAGATCTGCTGTAATTAAACAGCTCAGGCCTCTTCTGAAGAAGAATGGTGTATTAGCTGGGCCACATATTTCCCAACAAAATTAGACTGTTAAAGCTGGAAGGTGCCTGGCCGGCGTGGCTCAGGGAGCATCAGCCTATGACCAAGGGGGTCATGGTTTAATTCCCAGTCAGGGCACATTGCAGTGTGGGGCATGGAGGAGGCAGTCAGACAATGATTCTCTCTCATCATTGATGTTTCTATTTCTTCCTCTCTGAAACCAATACCAATATATTTTTAAAAAAATAAAACATCTTGTGGGGGAAAAAATGCTGGAAGGTGTCTGACCTCCCATTTTCATGAATGATGAAGCTGGATTCAGAGAGGGAAAGTAACTTGTCCAGCAGCTGTCACGGAAAGAAAGTTAGAGTTAGAAAGGAGTTTTTAAAGGGCACAGATTTAATATCTTTGGACTTTTCCATTTTATTTTAACCCATCAGAAAAACATTAGCTCTGGAAAGGAGATGGAAATTCTTGTGTGGAAGATGCTCTGGAAGTACAAATCCAAGAATATTATGTGACTAATATCTTAACCAACACTAGGAATATATTATGCACTATTTTAGACCTCTCGGTTCACCTTGAGACTGTTTAGAAGGAAAATATTGAACCCATAGAAATTAAACACACACACACACACACACACACACACACACACACACACACACACATAAAACTTTAACTTAGCAATCTTTTACTGAGAAAAGGTGACATCTTTCAGGCCTTGCTGGTAAACTACAGGCAAAGACCTTGTTCCATGAAATAATGAAATGCTTTCACAATGATGCAGGCCATTCTTCACCAGGGGTGGTTGATCCCTGCCATTTCAACCCTTAGGGACCTCTCCATCAAAACTTAGGAAAGTTTGGAGTGCTCTGGACACAATGTAAACATTCTCCAACTTGTCTGAAACTGGAAGTGTGTCCCTCCCTCCCCCCCCCCCTTCCTTTTTTTTCTTTGATTCAGAAGAGTGTTAGGATCCTCTCTTTCCTGCCACCCAGGGAGGTCACTTGCCTTCAGAATGCCTTTTCTGTGCTTAAGAAAAGCCATGAGCTGCAAGTGGTGTGAAGGTGGG